CGAGAGGTGATTTTGAAATTTAGACCATATAATAAAATCTGGTAAGTTGGTATAACGTGTAGAGATACTTATACTAATTATTGCGGTCGTAATATGAATCCTTAGAACTAGTGTTTCGTTTAACTAAAATTGATTAGCATAGAAATATGAAATTTAATTAGTTAAATAGACTCAATGAGAACTCGAATTTGGTAAATTGAATATAATAAAATAATTCAATCGAACACTACATTAGGTTATGAAGTTTGAATTAAGAATTATGGTGATCAATATATGAAATTGTTATGCCATAATATTCATCATATATTTGAATTTTCAATCAACTGCTTTTGCAATCTTTTTATATTTTTAATTAGTTAAAAGTAGTTAGGAAAAAAAATTACAATCATCATAAATATTTACTTATTTTTGTCAAATAGGAGTTAAGAAAATTTAAATTAAGTCCTGAAATATAATTTTCGTGAAAACGATATCCAGACTCAAAAGTCAATTATACTGTTTGTTATGGTATCATAGACTTGCGATATAAAAAAATGCAACAGTTATTATCATCATCAGTTAAAAAGTATTTCTGTATCATGTCGAGTGTTTAGAATTCAGGGGGTTACAAGTAGAGGCCTAAAATATTTTTGCAGTCGAACTCAAATATTTGAGGATAAAATTTAGTTTTGGTTGTCAAGGGGAAAATGATTTTGTGAGACAAAAAATCAAAACTTTCTCATTGTGGGCGTTTTCAAGATACATTGTATTTAATCTATTTACGTTTAAAAACATGGAAAATAGATGGATATATTATGTGAGGCCCTATGTAAAACCAAAGTAGAGCGGGCCCTTGATGGAGGAGACTTCGTTCCTCATTGTGTAAATGGCCTTTATACATAAAATTAAAGAGAACGAGCTTTTTCATTTCCATCTTAAAAATGAAGATGTTACAATACAAGCAAGATACAAAAATCGCTCTAATACTACTAGTTAAGCATCCAGCCAAATAATTAAAGACGAGAATAATATGAGTAATATGAAAAATAATGTATCACACAATAAACAAGATTTTTGTAGAAGATGAAAATTTAGTATACCAAGAAACTAATTATTATAGAATGAAACTTTCATTCGTGGAAAATCTTCCACAATTTCCACAATGAAGAAAGAAAAATATAGGCACCAAGTGAAATGGAGTCTCACAGACTAATGCGACGTGACATTTAGGTCATGGACTTTTTGGGGTTGGAAACTTGTAAATCAAAGAAGAATGGAGTATTAGGACACGGAACCCTTTTTAGGGGTTGGAAAATTGTAGGGAGAGAGTTTAATGAATGGCTGAAAAAAAAAAGGTCATTGGGTGTCAAATTAGGTGGTTGGATTCAAGTGTCGTTATTCCTCAACAGTTTAATGTGACTGTTGTCCCCACTATCCCAAGACTAATGGAGCCCACTCTTAGTCATAGACCACCTTCTACACTTGCAGGAATCTTCATTTCGTATATATATATTCCCACTTACAATTATATCAAACACATTGGGGCCACACCTTCCAATCTTCTTTATGCATTTTAAATTAGCCATGGGAAAAAATGTGATCTTTAGGTTGCTAATAATTATTTATTTGCTTATCTATGTTGCTGCGTCTCTCAATAGCTCCACTGATGAGTATGCTCTTCTAGCCTTTAAATCTCAAATTTTTGATCCAAATGAAATCTTGGCCAAAAATTGGTCACAAGGAACCTCCTTCTGTAATTGGATTGGTATTACTTGTGGCAAAAGACATGCAAGAGTCAGAGGCTTACATCTAACAAATATGGGCTTGCAAGGTACTATTGCAAAAGAGATAGGTGAACTCTCTTTTTTGAGATCTTTGATTATTAGCAACAACAATTTTCAAGGATTTATCCCTGATGAATTGGGTAATTTGAGCCTACTTCGAGAGATAGAGATGCAGTCCAATGAGCTAAACGGTTCCATTCCATCAAGTTTAGGATTTCTTGTAAATCTACAGAAATTAAATCTCTCCAACAATATACTTTATGGGGATATTCCTAAAAAGATTTTCAACATCTCTTCTTTGATAGAAATTGGTTTAGGAAACAACAATCTCTCTGGGAGTCTTCCGACAGACATATGCACGAATCTTCCAAAGCTAGAGAAGCTAAGAATTTCAGTGAATCAAATAAGTGGCAACATTCCTCCAAGCTTGGGAAAATGCATGAATCTTGAACTACTTTCTATGTCATACAATAATTTTGCTGGAAGCATTCCAATGGAAATCGGGAACTTGTCAAAGCTTCAATCTCTCTATCTAGGAATAAATAATTTGAAAGGTATGTATAAAGCGTTTTTCATGTACATTATCTTCTAAAACACTCGTTAATGCTTTCTGAAAATTGTGAAAATTGACCAATATTGTTGTTCCTTAACATCATAAATATTTCTGCTAGCATAGTTATCTGCATGTTGCTGCCCATAGAATGTGTCCTTGAACATATCTACACTAAAATTTAAGTATGCATTCATAACCCAGAACACATACTTTAACCAAAAAATTAAAAATAAATAAAGAAAGAAAGTAAGATACTTGAGTCCGCACTTACAACACTCATGATTAGTTGTTTGCTGACTTTTTTTAATTGCAATGACTAGAATGATGAATTTACGCAGAAACAATGGTCTTAGAAGAATTAAATAATATTAAAAATAGGAAGACACATGCACTTAAACAAAAATATAAAATAGTAGAGATGCAATATTCAATATGACTTGATGTGGTACAATATAATGGATAAAATTTCAACTTTTTTCTTGTCGAGTGTGGAACGACCCACTTACATAACATAACAATAATAAGCTACATATCCATCCATGTCAATCGCTGCTTTTGCTCTTATTAATTTTGGTAAATGTCAACTTAGTAATTGTTAAGGGATACTATGTGCATGTGCCAGTGTGTGTCTCAGTCTCTGGGATTATGTCATTACCGAGGCATGTTTTTCAGGAGAAATGCCTTCGACCATCTTCAATATCTCTTCTCTACTGAGAATATCGATCGGAGGTAACAAACTTTCTGGGAAGTTTCCTGAAGATCCATGCAACCGACCTACGATGATTGAGTTCTTACACATTGCCAACAACAAATTTCATGGAGAGATACTTCCAAGTCTGTTGAAGTGTCAAGCACTTCAGGCTCTTAACATTTCTAACAATGAATTCACAGGAAGTATTCCAAATGAAATTGGAACCTTATCAGCACTTCAAGTATTAGATTTCACAGACAATAACTTTACAGGTACTTAATCGTTGACTTCAGATTAGTTGGTACTACTTGTCCTTAATTAGATCTATTTCATGTTAATTTAACATCTGATATTTTAAAATCAATATTTTCAAATGGATTGGCAGGAAATATTCCAAATGAAATTGGAAACCTGTCAGCACTTCAAAATTTATATTTGGGTGACAACAGCTTTACTGGTAAGTAACTAGATCTCCTAAACTTATTTCATATATTAAATATATTTCAATTTATTATTAGTGTCTTACCAAAGGTTTATATGAAAACCCTAAATTTAAGCCTCCATTTTGCAAAATTTATAAATCATTTCATAAATTGTTGCTTTCTTTTCAACTGCGCATTCCTATGGATTCACGAGTATTATTCTGTTATTTACAACTCGTTTCTATCTATTTATAAATTAAATCGTCTATGACTTCTTTCTAGATGGAGGCTAAATGGTTAGATATAACTACTAATGGAAAATATAAAAGAACTTGAGGTTATTACCTAACCATTGTACACCCCTTTGACATGTGCGTTTTGGATTGTGATGAAGTTGGATACCACTACCTCATTTTAATGTTTAGTCAGTATTTATTTTTTTGTGTGTTAAACATCCTTATTATCACTGAGCTTTTACAAATGTATATCAATTACCAATGAATTTTAAAAGTTCTTGACACGCCCTACTCCTAATAAAGCTAGTGGACCCGGAGGATGACGTGCGCCGATAATAGATACCAACTAAAAGTTGGACCCACCATCAAGGCTACTACAATATGCAACTTCTATAAATTATTTTTAATAAAATTTTGGCATTATCCCCCCTATAATTTGGACTGGCCAACTTGTAACCAATTATATGTACAATTCCCAACAACAATATAATACTAGTGTTAATTCATGATTCCCTTCAATAACCACAAAAGTACAACACGATATAGAAATAAGCCAAATTCTCAAACTTTTATTATGAAAATAACATAAAATGTACATATGTATGCAAAATACGTAGTGAGCCCATCTAACTATCTACAAGTGATGTAGAATGACATCCAAAAATGAACATGTGTCCCAAAACATTGACTACACATCTAGGAGATGAGTCGTACTAGCTAACTTTGTCAGTGGCTCTGACTCCAAAATCAAGGCTCAACTCCACAAGATGCCCAAAAACTCAACTGCTACCTGATAAGGAAATTGTGGAAAAATATATGAGTTGGTAGCTTAGTGAGTAGAAAAGTTCAAAAATAATTATACTTTTTCATTTATACATTTTTATCAAAAATCAAGTTTGTATCATTTAACAGCCCACGGTATAACATATAATAATATTCAAAAATTAAGACATCATCATAATACTGAAAAATATCATCTTGTAACCATGGTATAATCATCAACTGAACTCTATGCTATCATCTCATCACACCAAATGTATCGAGAAATCTACCAAAAATGTACCCTCTGACTGAAATCTGTAATCTGGTCTTATGCGCGTAGACTGCCCCTTAGGCTAAACACTCCCGACACGGGCCTCAGGCCCCCTCAGTGAATGGAAGTGGATCTCAAACACCTCTCATAATCAATACTAAAACACGGCCAAGGCCCCTTAGTAAACTATATGTACACGGTCAGACCTCTTCATCCACAGTCAAGACCCTTCAGTGTAGTATAGAACACAACCAAGGAACTAGAATAAGGCTCTGTTTGAGCCAAATTATTATAGAATGAGAATGAAAAATATAGCCGTTATTGGGGCTCACACAAGAGATAGAAAATTTGAATTTAAATGTTAATGTGATAGATAACGGTCATATTTTTCATTTTAATGAGATAATAATGTAGATCAAACGGTGGCTAAGTATATAATCATGGATACTTTTCTGGTCGATCTCAATATCACATATGTCTCGCATTCCAATTCACAAATAATTCATATACAATTTTTAAAATTCCACATATATCATAATGACAGAATCACATAATTACATAAAATGTATAATCGTATAATTAATTTAACAATACTTAAAAAATATTTAAGTTTTTCCATTCACAAGCTATTTACGGGGCGATTAGTTTGGCTGATAAGCTGTTCCGACCTCTTTGCTGCCTCCTGATATAATAATAAATTTATTCGAGTCAAAACTCAATTCACAATTTTANAGATTAAAATTGAAAATAGAGCCGTTATTGTTGACTTTTATTAGACGAGTGGGACCCAATAACAGCCATATTTTCAATTTTAATTGGCTTTTAATCCCTCCCGAACGGGGCCTTAGTCCTTTCATTTCTAATTATGTAAACTAACTCCCTAAATTTCTTTATATATTATTTGTAGCCCTTCAAGTACTAGTAATTACCAATTAGACCCCATGAAAATCATTAATTTAACTTAATCCTTATTTGACTTTGACTATAAATGAATGAGGTGTAACAGTTCTCTTAGTTACCACTTGACTTTGCTGAATATTTTTAGTTTCTATTGAACTTTCAAAGTTCTTCGAGTTGCTAATGAGTTTACCAAAATATTATCTCATCCAGCACTCCATAACTTGTCATTTTAAAATTTAATGGACTTGATGAACATACAAAAATGTTATCGCGTTCATCATTATTTCTACCATGTCATCTAGTTGCTTAAGCTTTAAAATAAAAGAGTGATCGAGTGACGGATGTGATAATATTCTGTTGTGAATCAACGAATTATTTATTTTCTAAATTTCCTGCAATTATTTATTTACTTCAGCCTCTTTCGCTTGCACTGCACGAGCTTATTTATTTAAATGTTCTAAATTGATTTATGCATTTATCATTCTAAAATCAGTCTTATTTTATTAATAAATATCAGAGCCACTAATATTTGAATCTTATAATTTGATATTTTAAACAAATTGAATTATATATAATTCCATTGTTTTTTTTTATTATTATTTATAATAACTTTTTGAAATTATAAAAATTTGACTTTCGGATTTCAGTTTTTAACATCCTAAATTCTATTCACAGGAGGCATTCCATACGAAATTGGAAACTCGTCGACACTTCTACGTTTATATTTGAATTTCAACATCTTGACAGGTACCTATTTAATATTTTAATACTACTTTTAAGATTCATTTGTGTGTGTTGAAAAATTCAACATTACAGGTACAGTTCCGTACTCAATTGGCTCTTTATCAAATTTGATGGAATTGGATATTGGTAACAATAGTCTTCATGGTCAAATGCCTCAATCCATCTTCAATCTCTCCATGTTGCAAATACTTAGTTTTCCATTCAATAATTTCTCTGGTAATCTTCCATCATCAATAGCCAGAGGGCTCCCTGATCTCCAAAAACTTTACTCTAACGACAATCGAATGAGTGGAGAAATTCCTGACAGGATTTCAAATTGTTCTAAACTTATTGAATTGGAACTTAGTGTCAACTCGTTCAGTGGACGTGTACCCATTAATCTTGGGAATTTACAAGACCTAGAATATCTTAACTTAGGTAATAATCTCTTGACAAATGATCCTTCAATGCTGGATTTGGATTTTCTATTTTCGTTAACGAATTGTAGACAATTGAAGACCTTAGTGATCAGTGACAATTTTTTTGATGGAAGACTTCCAAAAGCTCTAGGTAATTTTTCGACATCTCTTCAACAATTCATTGCTCGTTCTTGTGGCATCAAAGGTATGATTACAAGAGAAATTGGCAATATGAGCAACTTGATCTGGTTAGAAATGGGAGGCAATGAGCTCACAGGAAAAATTTCTGACACATTGAGTCAATTGAGGAAGTTGCAACTGTTGTCGTTTGATGACAATAAACTGCATGGGTCAATACCTAGCAGCCTTTGCAATTTGGTAAATCTTTATCTCTTGGAATTGGAGACAAATCAGCTCTCTCAACAACTACCAACTTGTCTAGGAAATCTTACTTCTTTACGCAAATTTTATTTAGCTAACAACTCATTGACTTCAACCATCCCATCCACATTATGGGCTAACAAGGAAATTCAAATAATGGACCTGTCATATAATTTTCTAAATGGTTCGTTGGCTCCAGAAATTGGCAGCGTGACCAGCATGAGAGTGTTATATCTATCAGGGAATCAGTTCTCAGGTGAGATTCCAAGCACTATTGGGGAACTTCAGAATTTGGAAAATCTAATGTTGTCAGACAATCAGTTAAATGGTTCTATACCTGAGTCGTTTGGTAATTTGATTGCATTGCAAATTTTGGATCTATCTAATAACAATCTCAATGGAGTGATCCCCATGTCATTGGTGAAACTGAAGTACCTTGAGTATTTCAATGTTTCATTCAATAGTCTCAGTGGTGAAATTCCAAATGAAGGGCCTTTTAAGAACTTTACCTCAGAATTTTTCACAGGCAACAGAGAATTTTGTGGAGCATCTCAATTTAAGGTCAAGCCATGCAAAGATAATAGAACCAGATCAACTATAAGGACCAGATTTTTGAAGTACATTTTACCATCAATTGCTTTTGTATTGAGTCTGGCCATTATTGTATTTTTTTTAATAAGATGCCATAGCAGAAATACACTTATTCCAACTCAGTCTACTTCCCCCATCACCATCAAGAGGATTTCATATCATGAAGTTCTAAATGCTACCAATAATTTTGGTGAAGAGAATCTGATAGACAAAGGCAGTACAGGTTCAGTGTACAAAGGAATATTTTCAGATGGTATGATCGCAGCTATTAAAGTTTTTAATCTAGATTTGGAAGATGCAAATAGGATTTTTGATACAGAGTGTCAAATACTATGCAACATTCGTCATAGAAATCTTATCANATCCAAAGGTATAAATTCTGATATAAAGGTCAATATTTTTTGATGAAGGGATATAAAGATTTTTTGGTTGGTTCCTAAACGAAATTGGGATACGCTTATATAGTCTAATAAAGGATAAGTATAAGACGTAGGACAAGAAATAAAAAAGGGTAAGGGTTACATTTTTGAAGAATTCTAAGATTGTTTTTGCATCGCTTTTTTGAAGATAAATACAGTACTGAGCTAATCAAAGAAAATTTTCCGTAGTAAAAAATAAACAAAGATTAGCAATCTCATTCTATAAATCGATAGAGTATTTTAGAAGAAAGATGGTAGTGTAGAACTCCAAAATTTTATAAAGTATTATACATAACATAAGAAATTTTTGGGTCTATTAGATGTTGCACTGATGACTCATAATGATAATAGTGAATTTTATGAGCTTAAACCCAAGATTTGTCCCTAAATGCAAAAGTGTAAAGTTTAGTGACTAGATTGTAAAATGACAGAAAGATATTATTTTAGACAATATTTTTATTAAATTGTGTCAAATTAATAATCAAGCATTTGAAAGAGTAAGAATTATCTTATCAATATTGGACTCATTTTAAAGCTTGTATTAAAAGGTGAATTATGGGCTTAAAAAAAAGTTATTTCGAATAAGTTAAATTCGAATTATAGCTCATTAAAGTATATTACTTGAAGGGTAGAATTAGGTTTCAAACTCAACCAAACTATCATGTCAATATTGGGCTCGTTTGATAGCTCCTAATTAATCATATATATTAGAATCGAGAAAAAGTTAATTTAGATAAGATCGAATTAAGTTAAACCCGGTCAAAAATGTTAAAATTAATCCCATGCATTCACACTTAATCATGTCCATTCAATTTCAGTTACCTCCCCAAAATTTACAAAAGACAGAGAGACTTTTAGATGATTTTAATAAATTAAAATTGTTGTTTTAGAATGATTTTAATAAATTAAAATTCTTGTGCAACACATTTTTGAGTAATTTCACTTGGAAAACTTTGCTTATGAGTCACATATCATCCAAACTTGGAATTTCGTGAAGCGTAGGGTGAGATATTAAACTGATGAATTTCAGCAAAGTTTTAGATTTAAGTATATTAAAGTTCCGCACCTTTAACCAATATTGAGCCTATCTGGCTATTGTTATTGATAGGTGTAAATTCTACACATGTTTAGGCCATCAGCTTTAAATATCTCAGGAGTTTAATTGAATTGATTGCTATTTAGTTCGTTTATATATCGATTGTTGTAGGACTAACCAGGTTGAAATTGATCAATTGGAAGTGTTAATTGAGCAATCGGTCGAAATTCATAAGTTTCAAAAGTTGAATCCAACGTTTGAAGAGTTTGGGGATCAAGTTGAAAATATATAGAAGTTGATTCGGACATGAGAAGGACGATTTAAGATTTCTTGAACTCAATTGGGTGAAATAGGGTGTTGAAAGACTGAAATTAGAATAAAAAAGAGTTGAGCTGAGCAATTAATGAATTATTGGACAAAATTGCATAAATTAGAAAATTCGGGGCTTTTGGGTGCACAACAGTAGTTTAGGGGTGGCATGTGAAAATTCGTAAATTGCAGAAGCAGGGCTGAACTTGTCAGAAAGTTGCATGCGCACCCAGAACTACTGTGCTGGCGCTTGGAAATACTTCTCAGATGACATCATATCTGATAAAGTTGGTGAATCGGGCTGTTCTGGTTCATCTTCTTTTTCATACGTATAATGAGTTTTTGGAATTGTTGGATTAAAATTTAATCCTTTGAGTTTGTCGAAGGAAGTAGAATTTCCAGAAAATTGAAAAAGATTTTCAGATATAACTTCAAATCTTGAAGAATAGGACCTTTGGAGATTATTTGATGTTGAACTTTTATCAAATATAACCTAAAATGTCCATCAAGAAATGAAATAATTTGATCAAAAAATTTTATAGTAGGAGCTGGAACTGGATTTTGAGCGTTTTCAAAATCTCATTCAAGTCCTCGAGATTGAAGATTCCAAGGGATGCTTTCGGGAATCATAATGTTTGAATGCAAAGGACTAACTTCTCCTAAAAGACCAAAATAGGCCCAGGGAAAGGGGAGGAAATCAAATATTTGAAAAGAAGAATATGTGTGTGTGTGTGTGTGTATATATATATATATATGTATGTGTGTGTGTTATGTATGTATGTACGTGTGTGTGTGTGTGTGTGTGTGTGTGTGTGTGTGTGTGTGTGTGAGCTTCCTTTTATCCTTGATGTTTTTGGACTTTGAAATCTTCATAATTGAATTGAAGAATCTTGAGAAACATGCTAAAGGACCACCACACTTCAACTTGTCTTCTTGAAATATTTTTTTGTCTGTCACTTCCTACCAACTTTTCGAATAGCTTTTTGAATAATGGACTCAACATTAATAAAGTTATTACTTTAATAAAGTTGTTTGTCTCCTTTGGAATTTCTAAGAATAACTTTTATGGTGGCAAACACATTTGAAAGAGAACCTATCTTGATTCCTGAACCCCGGTAAATATGATAATCATCTAAATAATTGGGTATATATAATCATTTTGAGTTCTTTTGAGTTTTTTGTTCAATCAAATCATGAATATTGTCTGATCCAAAACACATGGCTTTGTTACTCGGAGCATAGTTTCTTGAATCTAATTGAGAAGAATCATCATCATTTGATTTTGATTTCTTTGAAGAAGATTCGGTGTCCTCTAAATTTCTTCCATCATGAAAATTAAGGTGTCCTCTAAATTGCTGGTTATGTTCTTCACTGTCTTTCCATATATTTCACACAATCCGCAAGGCACCGCGTGTTTAGTTAAATCAAGTCTTGAAATTCTAGAGATGGGACATAAATAAAGTAACATGTATGATGAAAAAAACAATTTTATGGTTATTGTAAAATAAGTTAAAGAACATTTATGTATTTGGTTAATTTGCTGTGAGATGTTGTAGTGAACGAGATCTCAATCCTTTCATGAGGTGAGAATATCATTATCTTATGATCGTATCCCCTTCATTTGCCCTTGACGATTTCTCTGAGTACGGAATCCACTTGATTAAATTCGCTTATGGCGGATGTTTACTATGGGATTATGTTGATAGGAACACTTACCAAGAAGAAGCCAACAGACGATATGTTTGTTAGAGAGTTCACCCTTAAGAGATGGGTGTTTGAATCATGCAATAATGCATACTGTGTATGTGGATCAAGTAAACGCAGTTAAAAACAATATTTGCCCAGGAGAGGCTTGATATGAAACATGTTCTAACAAGGCTCAAGAAGATAAAAAATAAGGCAGTTGGTTTTTACTATACAATGACACCATCTCATCTTGTGCTGCGTGATCATGCATTTCCTTCTCCATTTATCATTAAAAAAATTTCCAAATCCAAAGGTATAAATTCTGATATAAAGGTCAATATTTTTTGATGAAGGGATATAAAGATTTTTTGGTTGGTTCCTAAACGAAATTGGGATACGCTTATATAGTCTAATAAAGGATAAGTATAAGACGTAGGACAAGAAATAAAAAAGGGTAAGGGTTACATTTTTGAAGAATTCTAAGATTGTTTTTGCATCGCTTTTTTGAAGATAAATACAGTACTGAGCTAATCAAAGAAAATTTTCCGTAGTAAAAAATAAACAAAGATTAGCAATCTCATTCTATAAATCGATAGAGTATTTTAGAAGAAAGATGGTAGTGTAGAACTCCAAAATTTTATAAAGTATTATACATAACATAAGAAATTTTTGGGTCTATTAGATGTTGCACTGATGACTCATAATGATAATAGTGAATTTTATGAGCTTAAACCCAAGATTTGTCCCTAAATGCAAAAGTGTAAAGTTTAGTGACTAGATTGTAAAATGACAGAAAGATATTATTTTAGACAATATTTTTATTAAATTGTGTCAAATTAATAATCAAGCATTTGAAAGAGTAAGAATTATCTTATCAATATTGGACTCATTTTGAAGCTTGTATTAAAAGGTGAATTATGGGCTTAAAAAAAAGTTATTTCGAATAAGTTAAATTCGAATTATAGCTCATTAAAGTATATTACTTGAAGGGTAGAATTAGGCTTCAAACTAGACCAAACTATCATGTCAATATTGGGCTCGTTTGATAGCTCGTAATTAATCATATATATTAGAATCGAGAAAAAGTTAATTTAGATAAGATCGAATTAAGTTAAACGCGGTCAAAAATGTTAAAATTAGTCCCATGCATTCACACTTAATCATGAGTCACATATCATCCAAACTTGGAATTTCGTGAAGCGTAGGGTGAGATATTAAACTGATGAATTTCAGCAAAGTTTTAGATTTAAGTATATTAAAGTTCCGCACCTTTAACCAATATTGAGCCTATCTGGCTATTGTTATTGATAGGTGTAAATTCTACACATGTTTAGGCCATCAGCTTTAAATATCTCAGGAGTTTAATTGAATTGATTGCTATTTAGTTTGTTTATATATCGATTATTATAGGACTAACCAGGTTGAAATTGATCAATTGGAAGTGTTAATTGAGTAATCGGTCGAAATTCATAAGTTTCAAAAGTTGAATCCAACGTTTGAAGAGTTTGGGGATCAAATTGAAAATATATATAAAAGTTGATTCGGACATGGCAAGGACGATTTATGATTTATTGAACTCAATTGGGTGAAATAGGGAGTTGAAAGACTGAAATTAGAATAAAAAGGAGTTGAGCTGAGCAATTAATGAATTATTGGACAAAATTGCATAAATTAGAAAATTCGGGGTTTTTTGGTGCGCAACAGTAGTTCAGGGGTGGCGTGTGAAAATCCGTAAATTGCAGAAGCAGGGCTGAACTTGCCGGAAAGTTGCATGCGCACCCAGAACTACTGTGCATTTTCCACCTTCAACACGTCCACAAGTGCAATTCAAATTTTATTTTTATTTTTTAATAAGGATAATTTTTGAAAAAGTTTAAGAATAGTGATTTTTGAGCCTTTAGATGCACTGACGACTCATAATGGTAATAGTGAGTTCTATGAGCTTAAAAAGGAGA